TTTCCTCCTGGTACCCAGTGGAGCCTCCGGCGGCCAGTCTACGGTCTCCGCCAGGCGCCACGTGAGTGGCACGACACACTGAGGACTACGCTTGCGGCTCTTGGGTTTGCTCCTTCCACTGCTGACCCGTCGCTGTTTCTTCGCACCGACACCTTACTGCCGCCGTTCTACATCCTCGTGTACGTCGACGACTTGGTGTTTGCTACAGCTGACACTGCTGGACTCGCCCACGTGAAGTCCGAGCTGCAGAAGAGACACACGTGCACAGACCTGGGTGAACTGCGCAGCTATCTTGGCTTGCAGATCACCCGGGACAGAGCATGGCGCACCATCACCCTGACTCAGTCACACATGGTGCAGCAGGTCCTTCAGCGCTTCGACTTCACGTACTCCTCGCCTCAGGCCACTCCTCTGTCTACTCGCCACTCGCTCTCAGCTCTGCCTTCGGATGAGTCCGTAGAGCCGAGTGGCCAGTACCCAGAGCTTGTTGGCTGCCTCATGTACCTGATGACCTGCACTCGACCTGACCTAGCATACCCTCTGAGCATTCTAGCGCGCTATGTTGCTCCTGGGAGACACCGACCAGAGCACATGGCTGCAGCGAAGAGGGTGTTGCGCTACTTGTGCAGTACTTCGGGCTTGGGGCTAGTGCTTGGAGGGCGGAGTCCAGTGGTCCTCACTGGTCACGCAGACGCGTCTTGGGTGGACGACCTGGCTACACAGCGGTCGTCACAGGGTTACACCTTCAGCCTTGGTTCCGGCTCTGTTTCGTGGCGGTCTACCCGCTCGACTTCTGTTCTCAGCTCCAGCTGTGAGGCTGAGATCTACGCAGGGGCCATGGCTGCACAGGAGTTACGCTGGCTCACCTACTTGCTGACTGACCTGGGAGAGCCGCCTCGTTCTCCTCCAGTTCTGTACGTAGACAACAAGGCCATGCTGGCCTTGTGTCGGGAGCACAGACTGGAGCACAGAACGAAGCACATTGCTCTTCGCTACTTCCTTGCTCGTGAGCTGCAGCAGCGTGGCCAGCTGCGCCTTGCTTACGTGGCCTCTCAGGCCAACACTGCTAATATCTTTACCAAGGCACTTCAGCCTTGTGATCATCAGCGCTTCTGTACTATGCTAGGTCTTGTGCCTACTTGGCCTCACTTGCTTACCTCTTGACTTTGCTTGTTCTGTGATCTATATATACCTGCACTTGCTTGTTTACCTTTATATATGAACTTGCATGTGAACTGGCCTTGTGGCCTTTGAACCTGTGCTCAGACTGTGTGGTGACGTTGTGATCCACCCTGAGCTTGCTTTGCTTTGCTTTGCTTGACTGGTCTTATGACCCCTAGTTCTCCCCCACTTTGCCTATGGGGGTGTGTCAGATGTATATGCCTTAGCCTATGTAGGCTGTAGTGGGGTAGACACTAAGGGGTACAGCTTTCATATTTGTATCACACACTTTCCTAGTTCATTCATTCCTGTTTCTTTCTTCACAACTCCTTCCGCAAAGGAGCAGCAACGACGGCGGCAGGCATCGGAGTCTCAGATAGGATGTTCAAGCGGTTGGGCCATTGGCGCAGCGACATCGCAAAAGACCTCTACGTCACCATCGCACACGACCAGCTTGTGGCTGCCTCCCAGCTGATTCAGGATCCTACACGGGCTCCCTCCCCGAACCAGCACCAATTGTCTATCCAGTGGCATCGCCGACCGACCACTCGCTTGTCTCAAAAGGCCCATATGAAATGAAGCACGATGCCTTTACAAGTTGCAGAAAGCAAGCTTTCACAATATGTAAATTTTTAAAAGTGTGTAACACTTTTCAAAATTGTGTATTGTGAAAGTGTAGCGATTGCCAACGCAGCAAAGGCAGCGTCGCATCGCTACTCGCCCTCTTTTGGCTACAAAAGAGGGGGTTGAGGCCATTCGGCCTCACCCACGTTCTTCTTTTCAATTTCGAAGTTTGAGTTTCCCACCCACCCACCCAGGTAGTCATTGTCTCTAAGATTCTTGCTGTAATTGTAGTTATCATTGGACGAGATTGATGTACTCATACCCATATGAAATGAAGCACGATGCCTTTACAAGTTGCAGAAAGCAAGCTTTCACAATATATCAGAATGCGTTCTGTTCCGCAGTACTACCGTAACAGGTACCGGTGCCTAACCACGACATTTACCGTACTCCACTCCACAGCACAGCACGGAACCGTACTTCACCAATAAAAGCCACTTCCATGTGTGAATATATAACCACATCTAAACCAACTTCTACACCCGACCCACCCTATAAACCAAACCTCACCAAAAACGTTTTCATAGACTTGTTTGCTGCTCTTCCTCCTCCTACACACACTGGTGCAACTGCTGCTGCAGCTGATCCTGCCACATCTACCCACTACACTGCGCACCATTTATGCCTATCGCACCTGCCCATGCACCTCATGCCCATTGCGCACACCCCACGTTCGCACTTCTACGGTATCAACTTACCTCATAACTTGCCTTAACATAACTCTCACTATCCGTCCCCACCGCACCCCACCCCCCCTTCCCCCCCTCCCCGCACACCTATCCGGCTGCTCCACCCCTCCCTAGACACCCGCCACTCCCATAGCAGCTACTGTTTCAGCTACGCACAACAACACTCTAAATTAGTACTCGAGGACAGAGCTCATGTCAACAACCTCATATCGTAATCCTGCCCCCCCACGCAGCGAGGTGACTTTTGCGTCGACTCCACAGTCACCTTGTGGGGCAAGCAAGCAAGCGCCAACAGCTACTACTTAGGCACGGAGCTCATGTCAACAGCCTCCTACTTCTTCCCCAGGACTAGGTGCAGTGAGAGTGCAGGTCATTGTTATCCCACTAGCGCGGGGGGCGCATATTGAGTCGACTCGAAACAAGCTAATGTCAGAATAACAGTGCAGGAATGATTGGATTAGCAAGAGTTGGGGTACAAGTACTAACCCCAGAAGTGCTATACCCCAGAAGGAGTGCCCCACTATAGCCTACAAGTAAGAATGTACTTTGACACACCCCCATAGGCTAAGTGGGGGACAACAAGACGGTCACAAGACCAGTCAAGCAAGACAAAAGAGCAAGGCAAAGCAAATCTCGGGGTGGATCTCAAGGACACCATACAATACGAGCACAAGCAAGCGGCCACAAGGCTAGTTCACATGCAGAGTTATAATAGCAAGGCAGTACACTGATCACAACCTAGCAAGAGTAAACAAGCATGTATAAAGATATATATCAGTGTACAACAAGAGCAAGTCAAACAACCAGCAAGTGAGGCAGAGTGGGCACAAGCCCAAGAGCAGTGCAGAAACGCTGATGATCACCAGACCCAAGGGCCTTGGTGAAGACATCAGCAGTGTTGGCCCACGAGGCCACGTAGGAAAGGCAGAGATGACGATGCTGCTGCAGCTAACGCGCAAGGAAGTAGCGAAGAGCAATGTGCTTCGTTCTGTGATCCAGTCTCTGCTCATGACAAAAGACAAGCATTGCCTTGTTGTCGACGTACAGAACTGGAGGAGAACGCTGCCGCTCCCCCAAGTCGGTCAGCAGGTAGGTCAGCCAGTGTAGCTCTTGTGCAGCCATGGCCCCAGCGTGGATCTCGGCCTCACAGCTGGAACTAAGCACAGAAGAAGAACAAGCGGACCTCCACGAGACAGATCCAGAGCCAAGACTGAAGATGTAACCTTGGGTCGAACGCTGAGTCGCCTGGTCCTCGGCCCAAGAAGCGTCGGAGTGTCCTATGAGTACCACTAAACCCTGTCCTCCAAGCACAAGCCCCATGCCCGAAGTACAGCACAAGTAGCGCAACACCCTCTTAGCGGCCTCCCACTGCTCTGGTCGGTGTCTCCCGGGCGCAATGTAGCATGCCAGGATGCTAAGAGGGTAGGCAAGGTCAGGTCGAGTGCAGATCATCACGTACATGAGGCAGCCCACAAGCTCTGGATACGGGCCACTCGGCTCTACGGACTCGTCCGAAGGTGGAGCTGAGAGCGAGTGACCGGTAGGCAGAAGAGTGGACTGTGGCGAGGAGTACCGGAAGCCGAAGCACTGAAGGACCTGGTGCACCATGTGTGACTGATTCAGTGTGATGGTGTGCCGTGCTCTGTCCCGGGTGATCTGCAAGCCAAGATAGCTGCGCAGCTCACCCAGGTCAGTGCAGGTGTGTCTCTTCTGCAGCTCCGACTTCACAAGGGCCAGTGCCTCAGCGTTAGCAGTGGCAAAGACAAAGTCGTCGACGTACACGAGAACGTAGAGCGGCGGCAGCAACATGTCGGTGCGTAGAAACAGCGACGGGTCAGCAGTAGAAGGAGCAAACCCAATAGCTGCAAGCGTCGTCCTCAGTGTAACGTGCCACTCGCAAGGCGCCTGGCGGAGACCGTAGACTGGCCGCCGGAGGCTCCACTGGGTACCTGCAAGAAACGACCCAGTGAAGCCAGGTGGGCGGCGCAGCCAGATCTCCTCGTGCAGGCTGCCCTGCAGGAAAGCTGTGCTGAAGTCCAAAGAGTGCAACTCGTAGTCACGCTGAGCAGCGACGTGCAGTAATACCCGAAGAGTGGTCATCTTCGGGGTGGGGGAGAAGGTCTGGAAGTAGTCGACCCCCTGTCGCTGACTGAAGCCTCTAGCAACGTAACGCGCCTTGAAGGCAGGCGGAGAACCCGGCGGCCGCTTCACCCTGAAAATCCACATGCCATCGACTATGTTCGTCCCAGGAGGAGGAACCTCGTCGACGTAGGTGCATGTGGACTTCCAGGAAGTCATCTCTGCATCCATGGATGTCTGCCACTGAGAGGAGTACTCACTCGCGATCGCCTCAGCGTAAGAGCGCGGAGTAGGGATGTCAAGTGCATCCGGGTCTCCCTCAGGGCAAAACACCATGGATGCGAAACGTTTTTTTTTTTTTTTTTTTTTGAACGAAAACCTGGCTACTAGTTCAGTAACAGATGCATACGGATGTAGGGCACCTATACACCAAAGCTAGAAACACATTTAAGTGCCGGGGGTGAAGTTGGTGGCATAGGCCCATGTGTTGTTCACGGTGGGGTCAGCCAGGTGGTCGGACAGGTTCTCCAGGGGGGCCTTGCCGGTGACGATGGCCTGGACGAAGAAGCCGAACATCGACACCATGGCTCCTTCACCTTCAGCTCAGCAAGGGCATCGGGGTTGTCAGCCAGACCCAGGGGGTCGAAGGCACCGCCGGGGTACAGGGGGTCCTCAACCTCTTGGAAGCCCTCAAGGCCACCCACGTGGTAGCTCTCGACGGCACCCATGAGGATGACCTGGGTGGCCCAGATGGCTAGGATGGATTGCGCGTGGATCAGGTTGGGGTCGTCGATGTAGTCAAGGCCGCCCCTGGAGAAGATCTGGGCACCGGCCTTGAACCACACATCCTCGCCGAAGTTCACGCCGTTGCCGGCGAGGAGCTCGGGGGTGAGGCAGCCGAGGGCACCGAGAAGAGCCCAGCGAGCGTGGATCACCTGTCAAAACATATATGTTTCTGTTTACATTTCACTAGGCTACATTGGGGCTATCTTTAGGGGGTATAGAAACCATCTCGATACTTTGCTTGTACCCCCCTCTCTCAACCTAATCCATCACTTCTTCCTTAGTATTCTAACATCACCTCCAGCTCGCGGTTCTTGACGAAGGTCTCGGGGTCAGCGGACAGACCCGCGGTGTCCCAGTCGTAGTCGCCGGCATATTCGCCGGTGAGGTACGACGGGGGGGAGGAGAAGGGGCTCAGGAACACGTTGCGGTCGGGGCCATAGAAGGCGCTGCTGGTAGCGGCCTTGGCGGTCTTCCTCATGGAGACGCGAGCCTCGACATTGTTCACCTTGGCGGCGAGCTCAGCGCTCTGGCCGACGAAGGTGGACGGGAGCACAGCGGCGTTGGCGAGAGCGGCCATTGTCAACTGCGATAAAGGTACAGCTAGTAGCTGTGAGGGTTCCTGGAGAATTTGGAAGTTTGCTGCTGATCGAACTGTGCTCTGATACCATGTCAGAATAATTGTGCAGGAATGATTGGATTAGCAAGAGTTGGGGTACAAGTTCTAACCCTAAAAGTGTTGTACCCCATAAGGAGTGCCCCACTATAGCCTACAAATAAGATTGTACTTTGACTGCTAATTCTTGGGCACGGAGCTCATGTCAACAACCTCGTAGTTTTTCCCCAGGACTTGGTGCAGCGAGTGCAAGTCGTCGTTGTCCCACTTGGCGTGCGGCGCACCGGAGATGTACCAGGACGCACCGTTGTCAGCCAGCATCATGCCGTACGTCTTGAGCGCCTGTAGGATCACCCGCGTCTGCTTTGGAAAGCCAGAGATGTTGAAAGTCTGGTTGGGGAAGGGGTTGGGGTTGAATGATTAGGGAAACTCTGTAGGTGCACCGTTGTCCGCCAGCATCATGCCGTACATCTTGAGCGCCTGCAGGACCACCTGCGTCTGCTTCGGGAAGCCATAGATGTTGAACCTCAGCCGCGAGTGTGGCCGGGCGGGAGAGGAAGGGTTGGGGAAAGGGTTGGGGTTGAATGACTAGGATTTGATAGCTGGGGTATGGTTGAATATTGGTATGCTGAGGCCGGTGAGCGGGGATGGGCGAGTGGGACATACGCATGTGCATGTGTGGGCATGAATGTGTGTGCCCACGCTCACAAGGTAACACGCCCAAGCATACGATTATGCATGTGTGATTGAGAGCATGTGTGCACGCATCTGCATGCACACGCACATGTGTTGTCTGCTGGGAGTTGCATAGAGAGACGCGCAGGCAAGAAAGACTAGAAGAAGGGGCAGAAGAGAAAAGGGGCGGATGGGAGGGAGGGGGAGGGGGAGGGGAATGAACGGAGTAAGGAGTGAGAGGTGTTAAGTCAGGAAAGACCTTTTTAAGGCGCAGGCGGAGGCCCATGGGGGGCAGGTTGGGGTTGGTGGAGTCACTGGCGTAGTGGCGTGCGGGCCACACATACTTCTTCTGTGTCTCTGTTGCTGTGAAGCGCAGCGCGTGGTTGATCGCCCCCGCTGCCACCTCAGCATAGCGCGCCAAGCCAGGCAGCATCTGCAGGCAGGAAGAGGTGGCGAGGGGATGCCCCATGTGGCAGGCAGGAGGGGGATAAGGCCACATGCGGCAGGCAGGGCAGGAGGAGGAGGAGGAGGGAGCAGAAGAGGGAAGCGGAGAGGGCGGTACACAGATAGTGAACCACGGTGTGTCACAGACAGAAGCAAAAGGCCAGCCACGGCCCTTTGCACCGTCACTCCCCACTCCTTCTCCCACACCACAACCAGCACTCCCTGCCCATTTTATCAACACAACCCACCGTTCCCCACCCACACTCTCACTCTCAGCCCAGCAGTCTCACCGGCAGGCCAGCAGCATCAGCGGAGGTCCATCCAGCAGGCCTGAGATTGTTGGTCGTCAGATTCCAAATGGCTCCACTGCCCGCTGACACTGCTCGTGGTGCCCGGGAGGTGTGTGGCAGGGGGGTGCATGGGAGGGATCACGTGGACCAGTGGGGAACAGGAGGTGACTTGGGGAGCTGGTTCGTTGTGAGGCTTTTCAATGGATACAATTTTCAGCTGACAAAGATAGGGGGGGAGGGATGGAAGGCGGGAGGGAGGGAGGGAGGGAGAGAGGGAGGGAGAGAGGGAGGGAGAGAGGGAGAGAGGGCCATGTGGGTAGATGCAGGAGGTTCACAAGATCACAGGACAGGATAGCACAGCACAACATCAAGTCCCAGGTCTCACCGCGGCCGTTGCCATCCATGGAGAAGTCGTAGATCTCATAGAGCATGCACGCATCGCGGTCCACAGCCAGCACGTGGTGGTCCGACCCCCACTCCACCGCCACGCCGCGCCGCGCCACCGGGTACGGCCCGCGATCGCTCTCATCGCCGTAGTAGAACGACGGGAACACGCGCCGTGTGCTGCTCGTGACTATGTTCACCGGGATCCCGATCGGCCCGCCGTCCCATTGGCCTGCACCACGAGCAGGTGGGCATCGCGAAACTATGTTTTCTCGCTTTCGTATCGGAAACCAGTTGCCAGCGACTGGTTGGGTAAAACCAGTCGTTTTGGTTTGCAAACCATTGGCTTTGGCCGGTGGTTTGCGCTTTGGATGCTTTGGGGGCGTATCGTTTGCGTATTGCCCAGCGCGAGTCCGAGAAGTCGCACCTGATTTCGAGGCATGGGTGGTGAGTTGTAGGTTTGGCACAGGTTTGGAAGTAGCTCTGAAGATTTTGGCTAGTCACGAAGCTCCACGCCTGCACGGTCTGGTTGGTCGAAATTTTGCCTCTGCCATCGATGGTTTGAGATTCCATTATCTTGTATAAAGGTTCCTGAAGTGTAACTTATCATGTTAGTTGATGTAGATTTATGTAAGTGCAAACATTTAATGTGATATCTGAATATTTTGTTGTATTTTTGCGCATTTAACTCATGAAAACTTTAGCATTACAATATCACAGGATTCTTAACATAAAATGCTGACATAACATGGCGTATGAATTACGTTGGAATTAGGTAAATTTAGTGTTGTAGTGGAATTAGAATCACACACCCGCTACACTTTGTAACGAAATCGTTCATAATTTACGCGAAATCGGTACAGTTTAGGGTACCTTCAGTCTACATACTCCATAACACATAATCGCAAGGGCATTGCCTTTTCGACGCTTGTGAGTATTGTTGAATATGTCAGAGAAATTCACTATACAGATAGGAAACGTTGCACATACGGTTCATCCTAGCCGTTTAATCCAATCTGTAAAGTATCACCCAGTCAACCTGCGAGGAGCCCATCTACAGATAGATCGCGCGTGGGCCCTGGCAGGGACAGATCGTTCAACGGTCGGGTCTGTCCAGGTGCACACAGGGTGGATGAATTTGGAGGTTGTAGGCGAATCAATATTTGCCAGCGCGAAACATTTCAGGTAGGTGTAATACTTCGCTTCTGCTGTTCGCACAACAGAAATTCTGGCGCGTCAGGTTTTTGCGCGCCAGATTTTCTTTCGCTGGGTAACCAGTTGAAAGCGCATGCTGCGTCAGCCTGGCACAGCCCTGGTGTAGTTGGGTCTGGTGGTCCCAGCCGAGCTGGGGCCCGGGCTGTGTCAGCTTTCGACCGAGCCACGTGTGATCGTGGCTCGGCCCCCAACTGCGCCCAAGGATCAGCCGCCCTATTTCGCAGCAGTCGGAGTGGCTGAGTGCCCAGCCCTTGGTTCGTTGTTTTGCTGGCGTGTCCCGCGTGAGGACAAAGTAGCCCTCGCCCATCACGGGGTCCTGGTTACGGAGCCTCGAGCAAAACCACTTGTCTAGGTGCACGCGTGGTGGATTCTTTGACGCGAGGCAAAAAATCGCCGCGATTGTTTTTGAACCAACAGAAACAAGCCTGCTACCCTTGGTTGACCTGCACCGTTGGAAACCAATCGTATTTCCCTCCATCGCAAAGAACAAAAACGTGTATGCGTTATGAAATGAAAGGTGAAGTGCGGTTGTGCGCGGTCAAACGTGTCTAAACAACTATTTTAAACTTTCTGGTTGGGTGTGTAACACACATGTAGTGACTCCTTGTCCTTCAGAGGTCCCTTTCAACTATCTCCTCCCCTCCCCCCAATCCTTTCCGTTCAGGGGGGTAGTCTCTGAGGCAACGTCATTTCTCACTTGTTTCTTTCAGATATATATATTTTTCACCTTCCTTAACTCAAGCTTCTCCAGAAGCTCCAGCGCCTAGCCTACGTCCCTGCCACCTTAAGCTCCTGTCGGATTCGATTAGGCGCATTGAGGCTATTGATACAGCACCCCATCGGAGTCCGTGAGTGTGACAAATGTAGGTGAATTTATTTTTGTGTAGGCAACAACGATTTTCTTTTATGTTTTGCTGATTCCTCCCATTATTTCATTCCAAGGTTTGGCAATCTGCAGGCGTGTTTCCTTGAGGTAGGCTGATCTCCATTCACGCATTTAGACTTAAGCTCTTGGTAAGCATTTTCGATCATGCTGCACAACATTGTCTATTGATTTAGCGTATGTGTTCGTTTGATTCTTGTCTTACGTCCAATTGTGCTGTATTATTATTTTTTTACTAGAAGTGGTTGGCGTTTTTAACCTGTGCTGGATTTTCGTTTTTTTTTTTTTCTGATCATGCACGAAATCACAAGGTTGTTGTTCTACCCTGCAGCCAAGACAGCTTCTGTTTGTAGAAGCTGTAGATATAGTAGTAGCATTGAGCAGCTTGGAGTGGGTGTTTTGTGTACTTCAATGTAATACAGCGCATTAGTGTGCTACAGTTGGATACCTGCAACCTTCATTTCTGCAGCATGATTGATCACTTGAGGCCTTTCAAGTGTGGCTATCCTGGGTGTATAGCGACGTTATCTTTTGCACATCAGAAAGCACGTCACGTCAAGACGGGAAAGCACAAATTCCAACCAGCAGAGGCGGCAACTGAGGGATTGCGAGATGACAGTAGCCAGGGAGGAGCTGTAGGAAGTCTTCAAGCAACTGCAGACCGGATTCTCTCAAAATCCAGCAAACGCCCACCAAGTCAAACACAACCAGGGCCGAGCCGTTTGGATGACCAACCGAACGCGGCTGAATTGAATGAGGATGCGACGGGCTACTTGTTTGCCCCTGAGTGCGATGCAACTTCAGTTGATATTGATGCTCGGGTGTACCGATTGGTTCGCACAGCAGCGGGTGGATCTGGGCTATCACGTGTGGATATGAAGGAACTACTATCCATTCTTGTCGAAGTGGTGGCCCATCCTGGACGGCTAACCATTAAGTCTCTTGCAGAATTCGAAAAGTACGAGGAGGAGCAATTGGTAAGGGCGAACATTGAACCGTTCGAGCCGGTGGAGTTAACGAAGGAGGGGGATCTAAAGCATGTGATTCTCTGGCGGCGTTCGGCTCTCTCGTGCGTAAAAGGTTTATACGAGAACGTGGCGAATGCACACGGCTTCGTGGTGAGACCTCGGAAGAAATCTACCCAAGACAAACAAATGTACAAGGGTCCTGAGACGGGAAGCTGGTGGCGGGAGATTTTGCGTCGACTGCCTGCTGGTGGTGATCCACCCACAGTGGTAGCTGCAGTAATCATCTATTCAGATGAAACAACCCTGACGACCGATGGCGGACTGAAAGGTTGGCCAGTGTACATTTCTCTGGCCACAGCGGTGCTCTCTTGCCCGAAGATGATGGCTCTCTCTTCACGAATGCGGCTAAGAAGCAACGGCGGCTTGAGGTGTTCCAGGAAGCGCTTGCTCTCATCATGGAAGACCTGAAGAAGGCACAGCACTCGTAAATGGCTTGGACGCTATCACAATGTGTTGTAATCGTCTATGGTGCGTGTTGGAGTGTTGTCTCGCCATACACCATTTGACAGTGCTGTTATGTATCTGTTGCATGCAGGCGCATGGAGCTGACGGACCCGTATGGCATTCTCCGTATGGTATACCCGATGACGTACTCCTACATCGGCGACTACCCAGAGCAGTGCAAGGTTGCGGGGACCAAGTCTGGCATCAAGACTCGCCTTCCATGCCCCAGGTGCACCGTCCCGAGAGAGGAGCTGAGTAATATGGAGTACCCTCTGACTTTTCGGACGGAGGAAGGACAGATGCTGCATGTGGAGGAAATGGAACGCGCAACGACACAGGGGAAACGAAAGGATTTGTCCAAGCTTCACAGCACACACTGCGTCAAGGTATGTCTTGTCCTACGCGTATATGCAACTTGAAGGGAATTGCAACGTCTGGTATCGTTCGACTAAGCTAACGCGTATCATGTTTGTTTGGTTGTTTGTGCATGTGCATGCGCGTGCATGTGTGTGTGTGTGCATGCGTGTGTGTGCATGTGTGAGTGTGTGCATGTGTGTGTATGCATATGTGTATGTGTATGCATGTGTGTGAGTGTGTGCATGTGTGTGTGTGCATGTGTGAGTGTGCATGGGTGAGTGTGTGCATGTGTGAGTATATGCATGTGTGTGTGTGCATGGGTGAGTGTGTGCATGTGTGAGTGTGCATTGGTGAGTGTGTGCATGGGTGAGTGTGTGCATGTGTGAGTGTGTGCATGTGTGAGTGTGTGCATGTGTGAGTGTGTGCATGTGTGAGTGTGCATGGGTGAGTGTGC